CACAACAGCTGTTTTTTGTTATGGTTGGCAATAGCCAAACATCGATAACCGGCACACACAACGATAGTTCTAACGCTAGCGCTCTCTTTCTCGCGCTCTCTCTCAATTTTTTTGCTTTACGCTCATCGTGTTTTGCTCATTTGTAGTTGATTTGTTGCGGCGTTCGGTCGTGTATGCTTGTTGCTGTCGTTTGTGTCGCGCGCGTGTGTAATTCCTTAATATAAAAACAATAAAGCAAATAATATGAAGTGCACGCAATTGTGTTAATTAGCCCCATAAAGCACACACACAAAGTCAACAAAAGCCAAAGCAAAACTAGTCAAAAGCCCAAAAAAAAAACAAAAAAAAACACACGCACAATCGCAGCGCCAATAGCAGCAGCAGAAACAACAACAACAATGGCCAATGGCAACGATGTGGGCGCTGGGGATTCGGCCAGCGCCGTCTATGCCGAGCAACTGCAACAGGAGAAGGAGCACGAACATGAACCGGAACCAAATGAACTAACCGCTGTGCCGCGCTACGGATTGAAACTGAAGTTCGATCACGTTTGGCCAGAGAAACGCAATCAGAATTTACGGCCATCGATAAAACAATCGCTGCCGATGGTTCCGCTCGTTTGCAGGTGAGTGAGTCAACGCCGCAGCTGACGTCGACGCAGCCGTCACTGTCGTGGTCGCTGCAGATGCTGACACGAGTGGACAGAGCTGAGTAAATAATTAATTTAAGGCACATAATGTGAAATCAATATTAGGCCTAAGTATAAGCACCGACAACAACAGAGCAGCAACGGTAACTCACTCCCGATCCGTGCCCTTGCGTGCCAAATATAGCGTCAGGTCCTGGTCACACATACACAGCGAGAATAGCAACAATATGAACACAAACACACATGACACTCACACAAGCACACATTTACGCACACATACAAATTTATTCATAAATTGAATACTCTTGGTGCGCTTGGCGCCAACGAAATGATATTAATTCGCCAAAAGCAAAGCCTTCGCATTAGAGATGAGAGTTTGAAGATATTTAGAGTATTGCTAATTATTGTAGAAAGAAAGCACGATAAAACAAAGCTGAAGAGGGTAACAATGTGGTAGGTCATAAATATAACAAAACTACTATTAATCAATTTTAAATTGAGCAAGAAGAAATTAATAGATAATTTGGATAATTTGTTTAAATATACAAAAACTTAAATTAAATATATACTTAATTATAAAAAATATATATTTAATTAAAAAAAGGTATAATAATATTATAAAAAATATATATTTAATTGTAAAGAATTTATATTTTAACTTGAAGAATATGCAAAAATTTTACTATATAAAAATTACTAAAATTGTATTCTTAAAATGATTTTTAAAGCTGAAGAAAAATATATATTTAATGATAATGTACTGTATTTTTTTTTATTTTTAAATAAAAAAAAAACAAAAAAAATATATATATTATTATTAAGGTTATATAATATAATAATTGTGTAGTTAATCTATTACTTAAGCGAGTTAAGTTACTGAAAATCGGAAACAAAACATCTCCTGCATATATTTATATAAAAGTTCTTAGCCCAGTTCCATCTCTAGCTAAAGGATAACTATAAGCATTGCCTGACTTGTCTTGAACTATAATTTTCATCTCAGTTTCGTTACATTGTTGGCTTTTCTATTCTCAAGAATTGATTGCGCTGCGATATGCGCTGCTTCAAATTGAAATTGTGTCCTTTTGATAAGGACCTTATTAGCGCTCTCGCTCGCTCGCTGTGCATGGCTAACACAGTTGACTTTGGCTTGTGGCATGCCCCATTTTGGCGGCGCCACAACTCAAATTGTTGCTTTTGTCGCGGCCCCTGTCGGCCGCCCCGCTCCGCCCCGCCTCTCATCCTGTTTGTCTGCTTCACATTGGCGCCAACTTGGGCGCCCGTTAGCGTGTCCTGGCTACATTTATGGCAGAACACAAATGTATGTAAAAGGGGGAACAAGAAGAGAAACCTGAATATGTGTTTCTACTTTGTTTGCATTCGCTCTTTTTTTTTCGTTTTTGGTCTTTAACAAATAGCATGGCACGAAGGCTCAGCTCTGGCCCTTTATGAACAGCCAGCTAGGCAATCAACGCGAACTACTAACTGACCTATCTGCCCCAAATGCTACCCCAAATTCTCAACCACCCTGCCTACCTCAACCGTGGACTACCCCAAGCTCAGCCAGTGCAATGAACTCGCTTTTGTAGCTCGCATTTGACATCCAAATGTGGGTCACAGCTGCAGCTTCTTAGAAACTATCTAAGGAACTGCAAAACATCTGATAAAACTTTGTACAGTGGACTCTCCTTAAGTGAAAAGTAGATACTTTGGAGTTTACCAACCAAACAAGGCCTTCGACAACATCTTATAGAACTTTGTTTAAGGATATTCTTGAAGAGAGCAGCATAAATTCATTGAATTTACAAGCATTCATTTTGTATAAATTTTATACTCTTGTTAGATATTCTATAATATTAATTATATATTATTAAAAATGTCATATTTAATAATTAAATATTTTATTACAGTTATATAATTTAAGACTACTTTCAACTAGATCAGAAATAGCGAGATCGCATTAAATATCAAAATAAAAACAGGGAAATATATTATATCTATTTCGAGCTGACAATATACATATGTATATATAAATACGTATATTAATTTTGATATAACGTATATTGGAACTCTAAGAAACCATAGTTTTGTCAACAATTCATTCCCCATGATAAATTGACCCTTTTTTTTATCGCTAATCAAATAAAAGTAAAACCCATTTCCGCCGTTTTCTACCTTTTTAATTTCTTGCTTTGAGGTATTACCTATTCTTATCTCTAATTCAACAAAAAATGGTGACCTTATTATTATCGATAAAAATAACCTTTTAAATAAAACCTCTATGTTTGCTTTTCAAATATTTGCCATTCATCTACTAATAGTTTCTTTTAGTGTTATGGGTCTATTTGCATATAATATATATAGCGTGCACACATTTTAAAAGTCGTAAAATAATTCGCTTGTTAGTCATAGATATCAGAGCATTGTATCATTCTGCTCTTATCTGGGAATGTGTAAAATACTATTATTATTATTTTTTGTGAGCCTTGTCAAGTATATGAAATATTTTAGTTGGTATTACTAATGCCAATCTTATCATATGTGGAGTATACATATTCATGTATAATCTGACTTGTTGCATGCGGATAGCCGTTAACGCTTGATAAAGCTTTATTTTCGGGTATTTCTGAAGTATTTTATTGTCTTTGATTATACGTTAATTTTTTTGTGATACTTTTCGATTAGAACTTGTATACTAGATAAAAAGAATTATTTATCTGGGTATATCAAATAACTATAATGATAAGAAAACAAATATTATTACGATATACTATATATATCTCGGTAGAACAAATGACTTTGTCCAAAAGCGAAGATTCCGAGAAAGGTTTTTTTTTTTCTTTCTATTTTTTATAATGAATAATGAAATAATCTTGAAAACATTTCACAGCTGTTCAATCAAAAATGAAACTAAGATTAGAAATAGTTGTGCAAAGTGCGTATAACCTTGATACATATACATATACATATGTATGCCACATAGAAGCTTTTCAAGTATGGCTGGATTTTGATAAGCTCTAAGCAGTAAACCTCGAGCCAGTTGCATATACAGAGCGGATTCCATGTAACCATTCCGGCTGCTCTTTGTTATTTCAGTTGCTCTGCACACAATCAAAGATAGCATCAATTTGTAGCCCAGGCGAATAACATGTGTACTCGAGTTAGTCGCAATTTGTCGCTGTGCGCTGTGCGCTGTGGGCGTCAGGACTTCCACTGAATCCTGCCAGATTCCTTCCTTGGCAACTTGTCACACATGAAACAGCCTGAGGCATGCAACCAGCCAAGCAATGTTTCCCGT